AAAAAAAAAAAAAAAAAGAAAAATACAGAACTTTAGAAAGAAATCTGAATCTTAGCCACAGCTAAGGAGAGGCTTCCATTTGAGGACTGTCGAGAAGGAATGCAGCTTTTAGCACCAACAAACAAAAATAAGATCACGGTGGCTACAGGCCACCCATAGGAAGGGTGCGCCATTTGTGTCTTTCCTGGGCGACTCCATAAATCTACGTTTCCGATGTTTCCAGTTTCTTCTCTTCTCCTAAAGAAGTCTGACAATTATTGCAACAGTCTATTGTCCCCTTTTGGATCATGACTCTCAACTCTTGCAGAAAGCTCCCAGTTCTAAACTTTTTAGGAAACCTAAAGTTTGGGAAAGTCTACGCAGGTAGAGGTGGAGGCCCATCAGTCTGCCTGCAGTGGTGAGAGGTCTCCTAGGGAAGTCACCTTCCACCTCTTCCTTTGAGAAGTCAAGACCAACCTTCTCAACTGAAGATTACAATCACAGCGCTTGGACTGGCCGATGGAGTGGGCAAACTTTCCCCCTTCCTAGCAATCTGACTGGCTAAGAAAGGGGAGAAATAGAAACACTAGGCTTGCTACACAACCACAATCCTTCTCTTTCAAGCCGGAGTTTGGGGGGTGAAGGACATCTAAACTCAACCTTCTCGCTGGTCCTCAAGAAGAGACCTCACAATATGTCCACTAGGGGTGGAAAGACAAAGGACGCACGATGTGCACCACCAAACACCCCGATGCAAAACCATGGGACTTCTCTACTTGCATCCCACATCAGCCCAAAAGACACAGTTTGTATCGCAACGTGACACGAGTTCTTCATTTTTCGGGTCATTGTGATTTGTACCAGATGCCCACAAGGGCTAAGGCCGTAGCTTATATGATCATCATTTGACATTTAGAAAGCTTAATAACAAGAAGGCACTTTAAGGCATTAAGGCTTTGAAAAGCAGGGGGAAGAGGGAGCGTTTTGGACCCACCCTTTCTCCCAGCCACCCCAAGCTCCAAAAATATTTTGACAGCTAATGCTTCAGATCCATTAATGTTGCCAATGACACGAGCCCAGAAGGAAGGGAAGATGCAGGAGCACCAAAAAAAGCTTATTTCTCTCCTTTTAGCAGCCATAGAACAAAGGACACAGAGGTCCAAAACATTCTCTTCCTTCAGGTTACTCCTCCAGCCCTTCCTACAACAGATTCAAAAAAGAGGGGGAAAAAATCCAGTGTTTCCTACTCTTAGCATTGTGCAGTGAAAAGAGAGCCCAACTCTAAATCCAGGAGTGTTTGGTCTCCAGATACATTGGGGTTATCACCTCTTGAAGCCCCTCAATCAATCATCTAGAGAACATTGTTTCTGGAGAAGGCTGTCCTTTCACAGTGGGGGACAGAGTGCAATTCTAATTAAGTTACATCGCCCCTGCCCCCAAGGACGCCTTTAGACATCTCAGAAAACGTGCAAAATTAGAGAGAAATAGAGACGACAGCCTCTTCATCTTGACCAAGAGGTTGGTCAACATGTATTGGAATTTGTCTGCTAGTCTCTGGAGACAACAGATAATCAAGGATCATGAAGATGGCTGAGAAAACCAGAAGAAGCGGTAATACTGAATATCTACCCAGAAAATTCCACCCTGTTGATCAATCTGGAGAATTTGGGGAACAAGGCACATGTTTCTCCCTTGGGAGAAATGGAGGGTACCCTCAAGTGAAAATATTAGGGTGTCCTCCATGCAGATACGAGTCCCCAGAAAGATAATTTGGCTTGCAGAGGAGCTGGGCTCCCAGGCTCTCTCTCTCTCTCTCTCCAGGAACATCTGTAGGGAGTAGGGCTGGACCACATCCATCAGTTTGGCTTCTGAAACCCACAAAGGGAGCCCAGGTGTTTATCTCCCAGCCTCCTGGCGTTTCTGGAGCACTTCAATGACCTCATCAATGCCATCTTCTGGAACCTGGAGGGAACGGAATGGGGGAGAAAAAAGATGGTTGCATTGACACCTTTCAGGAAATACCAAAATAGAAGGGAAGACCCCAATTATTTGGGGGGATCGTGTTCAGATTTGTAACCAGTTTAATAATTGCTATTGAAAATGATATTTTTGTCTTATTAAACTGGCTGCCATATTATTCTGAATGGCAGAAGGGAAGGGAAAGGAAGGGGATTTAATTTACACTTGTAGTCACATCTTATGCCTCAAAACAAGACAAGCAAAGTTTGGTCTAATGGTTAAGACACCAGGCTAAAAACCGGGAGACGGTGAGTTCTAGTCCTAACTTAGCCATGAAAGTCAACTGGGTGACTTTGAGCCAGTCCCTCTTCCTCAGCCCAGCCCACTTCCCGGGGTAGTTATTGTTGGGAAAATAGGAGAAGGAAGGAGCATTAGGTACGTTCGCCATCTTGAAGTGTTTATAAACAACAATAAAGGTGAAATATAAATAAATAAGAATTAAAAAAATCTGGAACCCTCAAAAGAACGAACGCTTCCAGCTCGGGATGTCCTCAAGCCTTTGCGGCTTACCAAGGCGTGGTCAAAGTTGAAGGTGCTGATGTAATAGGCGGAGATGTCTGCATAGGCCAGGGGTTCAGCAATCTGGGCCACGATCCCACATTCATCTGCCGAAGGGAGGAACCAGGAGAGACATCAGCTGAATGCAAGGCCAAAGTTCCCAGGTTCTGGAATTTGACCAAACGTGATGACGCTTTGGGGCAGGACTTTCCTCAAGGGAGGGGGTCTCCAAACTTGGTAACTTTAAGACTTGCGGACTTCAACTCTCAGAATGTCTGGCTGAGGAATTCTTGAAGCTGAAGTCCACAAGTCTTAAAGTTGCCCTGCTCTAGGACAACACAGGAGATCCTCTAGGCGCCATCTTAGAACCATGCAATCCCTTGTGCTGATGGTTAGAAATGAAATTTAACTTCTTCCTGGAGATGGGATCCAAGTTAAGTGGAAATGGAAATTCTTCTCCCACCCAAGGGTGGGGACAAGTCAAGGACCACCATATTCTGAGTTAATGCCACCCCAAGAGAATCGGTTATCTACACAACACCATCACCACTGATAAAGCGTGGAAAAGAAAACCCAACGAAACTCACCGAAGCCAAGGGGCTGCCCGCCAATCCTGACCATCCTCCACAGCTCCCCAGAGGAACTGGTCAACAGCAGGTCGCTAGGGAATCTGGGAAAGGGGAGGAGAATCGGACATTTTCTCCACAGTGTTATCCATTGGCACAAAGCTAACCCAGATGCTTGCTGGACTCAACTGAGGGACCTCTAAGATGTCTCCTAATCCGCTCTTTCATCAGAGAACCCAGGAGGTCCTCTACTCAACACCATGCCTGTAAGGATGATGTTTTTGCAACTAGGCTACTGCTGCCCCCCAAATGCTGAGCTCCTGGTGGTCATTCCACAAAACCTCCCTTTGTGAGGCACTCACTTTTTCTTGGTCTCTGCATCCATGACGATAGAGATGTAGCCCTCAATCAGGGAGAAGGCAAAGAAAGTAATGGCGTCCTGGTTGTTAGCGGAGGCATCTTTCGGCGGGCTAAAAAAGGCCAAAGAAAAAAATTCCCAAGGTCAAATTTTGGACAATAAATTTCTCCTATTTTGGAAGCATGGGGCGGAAATGAAAGCTGCTTCAGCAGGACTTTTCTACTGCTATTTAAGAGCAAAGGCATCTGGCTCTGGAAACTATTACAGCGATTCATTTAACAACTGTGGCAAAAAAGCTCGTAAAATGGGGCTAAGCTCCCTTAACAACTGTCTGGCTCAGCCAGGGAAGTTTTAGGCTCACCTGTTGTAAGACGAGGATTACCTAGAAACCCTGGCTTCAACCTTCCTTTTTTCCCCCTCACACAGCCAGTACACATCAATCACTGACCTGGCTGTGTAGAACAGGACATCGATGAGTTTTGTGGCAATGGCTGGCAAGGTTTCAGGGGCGATGCTAAGGATGCAGAATCTGTTCTGTGGAGTTTGTATTGGATGGACCGTGGCGTTGAACTCTGGGAAGCAGAGAGAGAGAGAGATGCTGTCAGACCTGCCCCAGTCTGATCCCTTAGGGAAGAGAAACCCTCGACTCCAGAGATGGAGCAGCCACAACTTCTAACGACAATTTATTCCACTGGCTAATTGTTCTCACTGTCAGGAAATTCCTCAGATTTAGGTCGCTTCTCTCCTTGATTGGTTTTTTTCTTGACCTGCCTTCAGGTGCTTTGGAGAATAGGTTGACCGCCCCCCTCTTTTTTGCGGCAGCCCCTCAAACGTTGGAATTACTCCAGCACTGGAATTCATCCGACATGGTCTCGGCAATAGAAAACCCACCTTGCTTTGCCTTGTGGAATCCGTTGCTTATGTCTTCACAGTTTGCAGGGACCGGTTCTCCATTCACCTCCTTATAAATTTCAAATTCGCTGGCCAGAGTGTGGATGACCACAGGCAGATCCTTCTCCCGTACCTGAAAGGCAGACCCAAAGATCCCTGATTCTACAGCATCACGATGTCCGTTTTGAATGGCTTCCGTTTCTCCCGCTTGAGCAGGGGGTTGGACTAGAGGACCTCCAAGGTCCCTTCTAATCCTTCTGTTACTCCATCAATAACACACAAAGTCCCCCTCCCCCTTCCTCTGTTTATCAGTGGGAGGGGGACCCCCCAACCTTTGAACTCAGCCCTTATCATACCCATAGTACCCACCCACCCATCCCAGCTCTGGAACCAGCTACTCAGAAGCTCACCAGAATAAAATCGGTCTGATATGTGGACAACATCAAAACGGAGACATTGTGCTCGGCCAGCGGTGCAATGACGGATTTTGCAATCTTGGTGACTCCGATCGGCTGGTTGTTGAGGGAGGCACTGCCGTTGGACAAGACGTTCAGCACGAGCCACGTGGAATCCACCACTTGCAGGAACTCAGAGGCATGGAGTTCTGGAAGAAACGCGAGAAAACCTCGTGAAGAAGACAACACAGAACCTAGAGTCACCGGGAGGAATTCTGGGGAATTCTGGGAGTGGAAGTCCACCAGTCTTAAAGTTCGGAGTCCTCTAATTTAAGGCATCTGGGGAGGGGAATTACAGAGAAAAACAACTGGGAAAAGAAGACTACAAAATGGCACGGAGAGGGCAAGAATCTGAGAATGGCTCTCCTCCAAACTGGATTAAAAATTAAGTCACTTCGTTTTTCACATGACTGGATCTCTTCAGCAGAGCTGGATGCCTGTTAATGGCCCTCTGCACACCGAGGATCAAAGGTTTCCATTGAGAAGGAATTTGCAAGGGGGGCGGGAGGAAATAAAATATTGACCTCTTCCCCCCCCCCACACACCTACCGCCACCACAAAATGTAACCAAGAGGGACAACACATCGAAGGAACAAGCTGTCTTAGCCAAATCTCTTAGATTTATCACCCAGAGTCCCTCCGAAGGCACAATAACACTTTCTAAATAAACACCACACAGATGTTAGGAGGTTGCGTTTACTGGAGCTATTCAAAACAATGCAAGAAAGGAGGATGGTTATTCCTCCTCCCTCCTGGAAAATAATCCTCTTGAAAGAATTTCCAAGCAATATAAAAAAAATTGTAATTTATATAACTAAATAATTTAGTTGCTGTCTCCTTCTTTCCTCCCCTTTCTTCCTTTTCTCTAATACGTTCTTCCCATCTCTTCTCCCTGTCTACTTATCCCTCCCTTCATCCCTCTTTCCTTCCTTCCTCCCTCCCTCCCTATCCCACTGTTATCCCCTTCCTCCTTCCCTCCCTTCCTTCTTTCACTCCTTATCTATTACCCCTTCCTTCCTTCCTTCCTTCCTCCCTTCCTTCCTATCCCACTATTATTTTCCTTCCTCCCTCCCTCCCTCCCTCATTTACTTGTTATCATCCCTTCTCTCTCCTTCCTTCCTTCCTTCCTTCCTTCCTTCCTTCCTTCCTTCCTTCCTTCCTTCCTTCCTTCCTTCCTTCTTTCCCCCTTTATGTTGGTCCACAACAGTAGTAAAATATTTCACTTCAACTGAGCCCTTCTTCCCCCCCCCCGCCAGTTTCTCCCCCCCCCTTCCAGGAAGCACGGGGGAGTTTCCCCTGCCCTGTTCCCACATGAGAGCATGTTCCTTGGGAACAGCACAATTGCCTTCTCCCAGCCTCGGAAGATCACACCTTCCACCCGCCTTGCCAACCTGATCTCAAGGCCGCTCTGGAGCCCCTCCAGGTCCAGCCATACAAAAGATACCGCGGTCAGCAAGAACCGGCCAACGGCTTGTTTTCCGCTGGCTGCTCCCCTGGGCAAGTGCAACACCCTGAGATAAACATCTTCTCCCCCTCGTCCTTGGGAACATATCGATGGGCAGCCAAGCATTTGTTCCCTTCTTGGAATTGTGGGAACACCCAACAAAAGAGCCGAACAGAAGCAGAGATGTAATTTTAATTTTGCCAGGGCTGCAACTTCCGCCAATTGGAGGGCCCTGCGTCTCAGCCGGGGAATTCTAGCAGCTGAAATCCAAACATCTGGAAGGCACCTACTTGGCTGCAGGATTGCTGCCCTGACAGTTACCAGCGCTCCTAAATAGATTCCCCTCTGAAAACAGATCCAGTTTCTCAGAATCTACCAACTACTTTCCATTTAGGAACATTATGAGCAATTGGGTGTGTTTGGGGGGGGGTTTTCTTTCTTTCTCCAGGAATTCCAGACGCTCCCTGGCAACTGTAGAGGCAGTCACATAACTGAGGTGTGGGTGCAGGTAGGAAATAGTCAGGGATTGGCTATAAATGTATTTTTTTCAGCCCTGACCACAGGTCAGTGAATGAGGAATACCTGTACTCCAAAAGTTGCTCATACCTTTGAAGCCTTCTTCATCCAACATGATGGTGTAGTCTTCAGGAGTCTCTGTAAAGCTGAAAAACCTGCACCTGGGAAGAGAGGAGAATGCCAAGTCATGCTGATGAAGTTATTCTGTGAAATTCACCTCCCTTTGGACAGAAATTGGAAAAATCACCTCCCTCCCTCTCTTTCTTTCTTTCTTTCTTTCTTTCTTTCTTTCTTTCTTTCTTTCCTTTCTTCTCTTTCTTTCTTTCCTTCCTTCCTTCCTTTCTCTATTTCTCTTTCTTTCTCTTTTTCTTTCTTTCTCTTTCTTTTTCTTTTTCGCTTTCTCTCTCTCTCTTTCACTTTCTCTCTCTTTCTCTTTTTTTCTCCCCCTCTCCCTCCTTCCCTCTCTCTCACACATGCACCCGCGCACGCACACACACAAACACACTCCAGCAAAATTTCTCAGGCTGCCCCTTCAGCCTGGAAAAAAATTCCACCCACATTGCCCAGGGCCTCTTAAGCAACCCCAGAAAAGGACCCAGCTGCACTCAACCGCAGTCACACAAACACAAGCCTGTTTAACCGCGACACGGCAAGCCCTGCCCTTTTGTCTGACACACAACTTGTTTATTCCCTTGCAATAGAAAGAGAGAAAAAAGTTTGTTTGAGCAGATCAAATGGGCTAGAATGAAATGAATTGCTGATTCACGTGAAACGCTTGAAGTTGGCACATGTAACGTCCGGCTCATTTGTGGCAAAATCAGCCACAAATGCTGTTTTTTCAAACTTGGCACTGCACAAGGGTTAAACCAGATTTTTGGAAATTGTTTCAGGCTTCGAAAGAAAAGACTCTTTGTAGCTCAGGGTTGAACTGTGGGGTCCTTGATGTTTTCTGAGCTTAGTGGTTTTCTTACAGACGTTTCATGACCCAACTACGTAACATCATCAATGCCAGAGGCTTTCAGGCTTGTTTACCAGGCTGCCTTAAGGCTTTTTAAAACAACAAGAGAAATCTGTTGTTTCTTTAGGATTTGTAGCCATCACAGAAAGAACTGTTTACCATCTGACTTCAGCTTGGCCAATTAGGGAATCTGACCATTTGACTATACCATTAAACCGGGATGGTGTAAGATCTCCTGCCTTTTAGCAGGGGTTGGACTAGAAGACCTCCGAGGTCCCTTCCAGCCACATGGTTCCATGGCTGGCTGGAGAATTCTGGGAGTTGAAGTCCATCCATCTTGACGTTGCCAAGTTTGAAAAAAAAAACCTGAGTTAAATACTGAATCGTTTCACTGGCCAAACAGATTTCGGGGGGAAAAGTTCACCAGGTGAGTTAAAATTCACGGAGGGGAGCAAGTAGAAACCAAGTCTCAGCTGAGAAGGAAGGAGACAGGAAAAGCTAAGAAAGGGAAAAATGACAAAGAGGAACTTAAGGAAAAACAGAGCGTGAAGAAATCACGGTTATCGTAGGCGATCGGAATGCCGTACAGGCGACTAAGCAAGCTGCAATATTTTTCTTACATGTTTACCAGAAGTATTTTTCTTCCTTTTCAATAAGGTCACAAATACATTGATATGCACAAAATTAAGCCAGATTTTTCATTCTAACAGCCAAACTTTAGTTTTCCAGTTTGGAAACTCTTTTGGGGCTTGTTTACAGCACAGGCTTAAAGCTTTTAAAAACAAGAACGGGATCTGTTTGTTTTTCTAGGCTGTGTAACCATCACAGAAAGAAGTGTAAATGTAAAACAAACAAGAACAGAAACAGCCATCTGAAACTGAGCAACGCAAAAGGGGGGAAATGCCAACTATATTTTCCAGAATAATTTTATATTAACTCACAGTTAGATACACGCTAACTACGGTATGTGCCTCTGCAAAGGCACAAACTATTGCTTTTTCAGGGTAGACCCTAATTAAAAAAAAAAAAAACCACTAGGGGAAAAAAAGCCAATTTGCACCCTTTGGGAGCTGTGGAGTTTAAAGAGTTAAGCAGTCAGACAAGACATGGAGTAAGTAGCTAAAGGAAGTAGGAAATGGCTAGGAAAGCAGGAATTGGTGGGAAACAATAGCTAGCAAGGACGCCAGCCTAAGAACAAATTAGAAAACAGAATTAGGCCCTAAGGACTGCAAGGGAAAGAGAGTGGGCAAGGAAGGAAATTTGGGAGAAAAAAGCAGTTGCACAGCAAGGCTGACTTGAAACCTGTATTTCTACTTTAATGAAAAGAAGGACTAGAGGTGACATGATAGCAGTCTTCCAATATTTCAGGGACTATCACAAAAGAGAGGGGGGTCGACCTGTTCTCCAAATACATGAAGTCAGGACAAGAAGCAACGGATGGGAACTAATCAAGGAGAGAGAAGCAACCTGGAATGAAGGAGAAACTTCCTAACAGTGAGAACAACTAACCAGTGGAACTCCTTGCCTCCAGAAGTCGTGTCTGCTCCATCACTGGAGGCTTTTTAAGAAGAGACTGGACAGCCCTTTGTCTGAAACGGTATAGTGTTTCCTGCTTGAGCAGGGGGTTGGACTAGAAGACCTCCAAGGTCCCTTCCAACTCTTGTTATTCTGTTTTTAATCTTCTGTTATAAATTTCACACTGATTGCAAATTCTTAGCGTGCAGCCTTCATTTTATCTCCAAGGGTGCAAAACAACTTATGAAACAGACAAGAAGCTGTGAGCCAAACAGCCCACTTGGTGCTGATAGGGAGCGGAGCCTTCCAGATGTTCTGAACGATGGCTCTGAAAATCCCCCCCCTTCCCCAGTTAGAAAACTAAAAGAAAATTTTCCACTGTCTGAGATTCTCTGCCGAGATACGATAGCAAGGAAAACAATAACGAAAGATAAAGAAAATTACCTCCGAAAAAGGCTAAGCCTAACTGGGATGGAAGCAAAATTAGTCAATCATTATATAGGTGTGAAAAACGGTCATAAGCCCCTTTTTTCGCTGCCGTCGTAACCTCAAACGGTCACTAAACGAACGGCTGTAACTTGAGGACTAACTCTTATGACTTGACTACATCCTAATTCTATAAATGAGGTCAAGTAGCATTTTTATAAACCAGAACCCTCCCACAAAACAGAAGCCAGAGCTGGGAACCGAAGCATTGATATCAAAAGACGACATTTCTTAATTAAAAATGGCACAATTATCCAGACAGCTTGCAAACAGCATCCAAGAATCCCTGTATTTGCAAAATATCCCTTACGGTCATCCTTAAGATTTCCAATCCATTTGCATAACAAGCCTACTCTTTGCCTGGGGAGGGGGGAGGGAGAATAATTAAAAAACCAGAAGAAATGCCAGGTATTTTGTATCAAATCCCCCCTCCCCTTTTTTTTAATACATGTCTTTTTTGGTTTCTGCAGTTCCAAAGGCACCCTGTAAATAAAATTTAAAAAAAGCCTGAAGAAGGAGAGAGACTGCCAATTCTTGCAGCCAAGTGCAGAGGCGGAAGAAATTTAAGGGAAAAAATAGATGGCTTCAAGAGGGGAAAATAAATCTAAATTGCTCCAAAGGAGGGAAAAAATAAATTGCTTCAAGAGGAATCAGCAGCCGGCTGGAAAAAAAAAAAGAAAAAAAGAAGAGCTGTTTATTTTCCTTCAAGATTTTCAAACCAGCCGTGGGGGCGACCCATCCCAGTTATGTCGGAATCCGCAGCCATGTGCTAAATATGCCTTTTTTGGCTGCACTTAGAGGTACGGGGGGGGGGAGGGCTAATTGGGGTCCCCCTTTCCAAGAACTGGGGAGGGGTTAGGCCTCAGCTGTCCCCCCAAAAACACAGGAGCTGTCAAACCAGGGTTCACTAGCATCTTTTTAAACAATTGCACAGAATTTGCAGCATTTGGTTCTTGCAGTCCGCATTCCAGAATTTAAGGGGCAACTCCAACCTACTTGGGGATGATGGGAAAGGTAGTCCAAGCGCTCTAGAAGGGCCCGCGTTCTCATAAGAGACACATAAGGGACACACACCCTCCCAGTTCCAAATTGGGGATTAATCTTACATACACAAGACCTGACTCTTTGTCTCAACCCTGCAATTTCTTTACAGGTCTGGGAGGCCTCCTCTGGGATTCTTATCCACACGGGCCCTTTTGAGTTTCCCCTGACTACAACTCCCATCACCCCCAGGCAGTTGGTCTGCATGGCGAGAGTCTAAGCAAAGCCAAGAGGGATCGGGATATTGGGGGAAAGCTGGTTCTCACACCTGGGCTAAAGCCAGGGCTGCAATACTCCACAGTATCACTAAATGGCAGTAGAAAGCACCACTGCCGCCCTCTACAGGGCTTCAGGAGCACTGCAGTCCAAATCTCATCCCAGAAAGATGATGGGCATCTTCCGAGGTTAGCAAGAACCAGGACACGGTCCAGTTTGGCAACAGACACAGCTCTGCTCTGTCCACACTTGCACACTTGTTGTATACACACACACACACACACATACATGCATAACCGGGCTCAATCCTTAATTTGCAAGCACACAGCAGAGAGAAGCTAGTTTCCCATGCATACACTGGTCAGAATAAGAGAGTTGGAAGGTCCTTAGGCACCCCCCTCTCCCCAATTCGGAGCACGTGTAAACCCCAGCTTTGATCCATGCCGGTGGTCAATCCGATAACAGCGCCGAATCCCGCCGCCATAGGATTCCAAGCACTGCGCCTCTGCACTTTCTCCAGCCCACCCACGACGACACGCGTGTCTGCGCCCTCTCAAATATACACCAACACCCCTCCCCCGCGCGCACTGTCTCTCCAGCCCATCTACCCTGACACGCGTGTCTGCGCCCTCCCTAATGCACCAATGCCCGCGTTGCACAGTCTCAGTCCAGCAGGCTAGCCACGGGGACACGCGTGTCTGCGCCTTCCCACACGCGCGCCCTACCTGCTGCGCTGGGGCAGGAGCAGCATCTTGAGCAGCGGGTGGGTGTAGAGCCAGAGGCCGCGGCGGGCCAGGCTCAGGACCCGCACGCGGAGCTCCAGGATCCGCAGCTCCATGGCGCAGCCAGCGAGGCCGGCGCCCTGCCCAGCGCTGGGCTTTACGCAAGCCGGGACCGCCGCGCCGCCTCCTTCCCAGGCCCGGCCCGGCCCACGAGGGGGGAGCCACGGCCCGGACCCACCCCCGGCCCGCCCGCCCTCTGCTTCGCCCGCGCCGGCCGCCTCTGAGCTCGTGCAGAGCGCTTTGGCAACGGCGCGCACACGGCTGCGGTCCGGAGGTGATGCGCGCGCGGCGGGGCTTCCTTCGCTTTCCTGTCGCGGGTGCTGAAAGGCAAGAGCCGGGTTCTCACGACCCGTTCGGCCTTCCTGGGGGGTTTCTTGGATTCGTGGCTAAGCAGGTCGCGTGTCCCCGGCCTTCGTCTGGAATGTCCAGCTAGCTTCCTTCCTTCCTTCCTCATTCACTCCCTCCCTCCCTCCCTCCCTCCCTCCCTCTTTCTTTCTTTCTTTCTTTCTTTCTTTCTTTCTTTCTTTCTTTCTTTCTTCCTTCCTTCCTTCCTTCCTTCCTTCCTTCCTTCCTCTCTCTCTCTCTCTCTCTCTCTCTCTCTCTCGTTTCTTCTCATTTTCTTTCTTTCTTTCTTTCTTTCTTTCTTTCTTTCTTTCTTTCTTTCTTTCTTTCTTTCTCTGTTGCAGTGTTCTGGGCTCATGTGATCACCTTTTGCAACAAAAGTCAAGGGGGGGGGAAACTGGATTCACTTAACAACCGGGTTACTAACTTAACCACTGCAGTGACTCCCTTAACGACCGAGGCAAGGGAGGCTGTAGAATGGGGCCAAATTCGCTTAGCGACTGACTTGCTTAGCAACAGAAACGATAGTTGAGGGGTAGCTGTCCTCGAGCCAGACCACAAGTCCGGATGGGCTGCTTCCTTGGCGCCTTGCCCACATTGTGCTCATCTACACACCTTCCACCTCGGGCGTTTCTAACGTTCTCTCCTACTCCTCCTGCGTCTTATCTTCCAGGAACGTTCTTTTCGTCTCCCGGCCTTTGAGGGGAAAATAGACAAAAAACCAGGCTGATTCGAGTTGCAATGGCCCTCTCGGTGCCCACAGCGAATGTTCCTGCCACAACCAAGAGCAGGGCCTGTCAACCTTTTCACCCATGGTACCACTTTGAGGGCAAGGCATTATCCGAGTCCCACCAGTCGCCTAGCGAGGCGTCAAAAACTTGATGGCCAAAAACACACACAAAAAAGGAAAAAAATGATAAAAGTACAGGCAGTCCTCGACTTACAACAATTTGCTTAGGGACTGTTCGAAGTTACAACGGCACTGGAAAAAGTGACTTACGACCGTGTTTCACACTTACGACCGTTGCAGCATCCCCAGGGCCCTGTGATTTACATTTGTATGCTTGGCAACTGATTCATACTTACGACGGTCACTGTCCCAGGGTCGTGTCATCACCTTTTGCAACTTTTTGACAAGTGAAGTCTATGACGGGGAGGGTGTGTGTGTGGCAGCTTGTCACTAAGGTTATAGGGGGGGTAAGGGGTGCGGGCGGGGATGTGGAGGGGATCCATGGGTCTCTGGTGGAGGGGGGGTGGGACTGGGGTGGGTGCCTTCCTTCCCTTCCTCTCTCCCTCCCATTGTCCCTTCCTTCTTTCCTTCTCTTTTTCCCTTCCTTCCTTTCTTCCCTCCCTTTTTCCCTTCCTCCTTCCCTCCCTCCCATTGTCCCTTCCTTCCTTCCCTTCCTTCCATCCTTTGATATTTCCTTCCACCTTCCCTCTGTTCTATTTCTTGATCCTTCTTTCCTTCCCTCCCTCCCATTGTCCCTCTCAATGCCCACAACTTCTGGAGGCAATTTAAATTTAAAACCTTTTAAAAAAAAAACAACACTTGCCACTAGCTTAAGCGTCTCCAGCCAGGCATGCAGAGGGAGATGGGGGTACAGTTTACAGAATTGTCCGCTTGCAACAGTAACTGAGATGGAAGGGACCTGGAGGTCATCTAGTCTAACCCACTGCTCTCACAAAGAGAGTACTGTACTGTATTTCTGATAAATGCCTATCCAGTTTCTTCTTAAAAACCTCCCCACAACTTCTGGAGGCAATTTAAATTTAAAAACCTTTTTTTAAAAAAAACAAAACCAAAACCTTCCCCTGAACAGCACAAGCCTCTCCAGGCAAAATCCAAAATGGGGCAGGGGGTGGGGGATTTCCTTCCAGTAAGGCAGGGGTCTTCCATCTTGGCCCTTTGATGACTTGTGGACTTCAACTCCCACAATTCCTCAGCCAGGCACGCTGGCTGAGGAATTCTGGGAGTTGAAGTCCGCAAGTCATCCAAGGGCCAGGTTGGGAGACCCCTGCAGTTAAGGGGTCAGCAGAATCTCTGCTGGGTCTGTGCCAGGGAGAGGAGGAGGCAGCAGCAGCCACAGGCTACCAATGTCAGGCAGATGCAAACAAACCATCTTGCAAAGCGCTGCACTTACCAACACAATAAGAAGCAGAGCAGTTCCCAAAGGGATTGCAAACGACAGAAGTCCAGTTCCACAGAGTAACAAAAACATTTTTTTTAAAATATTTACAGAAGTATTCTAGCTCTCTAGTCCTCAAGCCCAGCAAGCAGCAGATCTTCCAGGCAGCTCCAGGAAAGCAAAAGCAAAAGAGATCTTGCAAAAATCACCCAATCAGCTTCGGCCATGTGACCAGCACAAAAAAAAACAAAAAACCACCCACTTCCGGCTTCTCCTCTCCGAGCCACGTGGCTGCAGAGGCCTGTTTGTTGGTCGCTGTTTTGCATGTCTAACAGTGAGTAGCCTTTCTGAATTAATTCGTTTTTCTGAACACTCACTAAATAAACGTTCGTGCTTGGGGGAATTACCTGTATATAGCCATTCGTGTTAAAATTAAGAATTAAGTCCCGCTTGAATAACTGCTTTTAATTAACTGCTTTTAATTAAACAGCCAGTTGCATGTCTGCTACATTTAAACATGGAGACCTTGTTGAAGAGCCGCTGATGGACTCTGGGGCTCCGTTTTTTTCCAGGCCCCCAGTGGAAAGGTATTTTAAATAAAATAAAATAAACTCCTAGGGTTTTACTTTGTCTTCGTTCCAATTTACTGTGCACTTGAATAACTGCACCTGCTTTTAATTAAACAGCCAGTTGCATTCAAATATGGCGACCATCTTGAAGAGCCACTGATGGACTCTTTGGCTCCCTTTTTTTCCAGGCACCCAGTGGAAAGGTTTTTAACAAAATAAAATAAAATAAAATAAACTCCTAGGGTTTTCAAATTGGCCGGGCGAGGCGAACCGGTGACATGCAGAACCTGCCTGTGCATGCGCAGAGGCAGAGGAGACCAGCTCTTACAGCATCTTGAAAGCCTGATGTTTTCTCTCCCTTCCTTTCATGCCAAGGGTAACCTAGTTAAATTTCATTCTGATGCAGTCTTGTTTCTTGAGCTGACCTCCCATTTTGCTAACAATCTCTATCTTCCCCAAGGTCAACCTTATGTTGGTCTATTGCCATTTCTCTTTCAAATGGCTGGGATTTTATACTTGATTGGGTTGTCCTCCATGGAGGATGTAAGCGTTCTAAGATACCACATCTTCACACAACGGGCTTGCACGGCTGCACAAAGGATGTTGCTTGGAAGCTGTGAATTCCTTGCTCGTAGGACCATCACCCGGGTCCTTGGGTTGGCTCTGAGGATGCATTGAGGACTTTCTCAGATGGGTGTCTTTCCACTCTGGCTTTCAGGGCCACAATCAGAAGGGTTGGGTAGCTGTGCCTGGGTCTGACACAACACAGGCCAACTTTAGGAGCAACTACACTGAGCATTTCAGAAGATGGAGATCCCCCAAGTAATATTGGAAAACCTGAGGAGGAGAAACGATGAAGACCTTGGCTAAGGTCTTTGGTGCCTTCAAGGGGGATTCATCTTGATCCTCATGTCAACTTCTTTCATTCACTAATCTTTATCAAGAGCATGATAGAAGAAAATTAGCGATGGTACCAAACATAGATTTCCAGATGCTGTTGGACCACAGCCCCCAGCATCCCTTACTCTGGCCTGAGGCTGCTGGGAGTTGTAGTTTAGCAACATCCAGACAGGTTTTCTGCCTCTGCTACTGTTTTGTTCTTTGTATTCATTATCTGTCTATCATCTATCTATCTCATCCATCCATCCATCCATCTCTATTTCATCTATATCTTTTCTTTATCCACCTTTTCTCTCTTTCATCTGTGTATCTCTCTTTTGTCTATAGCTTCACATTTTACATCTCTTTATCTCATCTATATTTCTCCTTCTTATCCATTTTTCTATCCATCTCTATCTCTTCTGTGTTTCATCTCTCCCTCCCTCCCTCTTTCTCTCCCTGCAATATCTTTTTTTGCTTGTAATCCATGGAGAAAGGTGGGGGTATTAGACGTATCACAAATGGAAAAAACGCTTTTTGTAACATAACTGCTGCTAAAAGTGAAATGAATGCAGTAGAGCCATCATATACCCACTCTTGTAAAAAATACTCGTGTGATATCTCACTGGTTGAATAATTTAAGAGATGTAGTAGTTATCCAGTGTGTTAAGTTTTCCTTCTCCCTCCTTGCCTCTTTTTCCTTATGTCGTGTCATGCTGACTATAAATGTACAAGCCAAATGGTATAAAAAAGACTTTTGCAGAAATATTAGCAACTTTATTAATAAAAGTTAACACAATCCTTCATGCAACCCATGTAAAAAACAGGCAGGCTTTGATAGGATGATCACAACTGCCCTTGTGACTTCCCCCCTCCCTTTCCAAGTGTGCCCTGGAGGCTTGTGTAAAGAAAAAAAAACACAGCCTCTTTTATCCCTTTTTCTAATTAAATAAATACAAAAAAGAAAACACCAAATTCTAAAGGGACAAGCTAAAAAAAGAAATGAAAACATGCAGGGTATATATTTACAGAACGTCTATATCCATAAACGGAAGTGAAGTGATGATTCATTACAGACATTCATAGCTAATCTATATTCATTAATTGTGCAAACCACAGAATAGTTGCAGCCATATGTTTGTCTTTCCAGAGCTGAACAATACAGC